GTGAGAGTACTTATGTCCGCATATTATACACCTAAATAAAAAAATAAAAAGCTACTTAAAACTTTTTAAACAAAAAAACACCGCTGTTCGGCAAATTACTTTTTATTTAAAAAGATCATTTAACATGATATAGGTTAAGCTTTAAATTTCAAAAGTTCACACAGCTAGTCTGTATAAAATACCAACAAATTTGAATATTGGTGAATAACTGGAATAAAAATGTTTGCAAAAAGAAAAACTACAAAATTGCAATTATTTTTTAAAAGAAAACGAGTGGATCATTTTAATTTGATCACAGTTCAAAGCACCATGTCCAATAATAATCTTATATTTTATCTAAATCGGTCAACAATCAGAACTCAAAAAAGATAAATCTGGTCAATGTTCAACGGTTGGGAATGTTTCCAAGTAGAACACGTTAAAATATACGGTAAATTTTTCCGAGTAGACAATAGTATGTTTGAAGTATGATAATTTGATTTATAAACTGAAATCATTGTGTAAGCAAACAGTTTTTAACCTCATTTTATATATCATCTTCTAGTATTTTAAAAATACTAAGTATCAATGAACAATATTTCAATATTTTTTTTTCAATAGTCATTACAAATAGTATTACAAAAAAATCGTATGTGTTATCAGATAATTTTTACTGTACCTAGTGAAATACATATTATGTCAAGAACTTGAATTCATTCTTTATTACTTTTCTTCTATGTACGTGTTAAATATTTGTATACGAATGTATTTATTTAATATTTTGTATATCTATGGAAACATAATTTTAAAAGTATTGTTTAGATGGTTGATACTGAGGTTCTTTAGCGTTATAAACAACATTACAAATTGCGGTTTAACACTTTATAGAATATGTACGATTCTACAGAAAAAGACACTTGCAATATCTTCTCAATGAAACTTTAGGCCACGCAGCGATAGGTTGGCAATCAAAAAACGGTTATTCTTTTATGATCTCGAGAAAAGATATTAATACAATTTTGTCCTAATCAAACTGAAGAAAGATCACTTCCGGGGGTCGACGCACAGCCTAATATCTCGGTATAGGCTCGACTTGCACGTGGTGTCCCGCAGAATTTATATGCACTATGCTGTGGTCGTGTGGGACACATGTTTTCGTTTCTTTTTACGTAATATTATAATATAAATAATTTACCCTTAAGCTGAAGACGGGCAAAATTAAAAATAAAAAACACAAGCAATACGTTTCAACAGCCGACCGAAAAACATGTTAATGTCATGTGTGACAACCTAGCGCACAAGCACGTGATACATGAGGTTTTTCTTCATCTATTTTTGACAAGTTGAAAAAATCGCACTGAACAAAACCGGATTTCTTCCCTCCCTCGAACTCATTGTATCTTTGCGTTCCCCACTTTATTCCTTTATTGATAATTTCACTTTGTTGTTAGGTGTATGTTGTCTCGATAACCTTCGAGTGATCGGCCACCAAAAAACGAGTCTAGACGTTGAACTACACCGCGTCCATTAGCCGTTCGCCTATGCTTTATATGTACCTTATAATACTTCATAAAAAAAAAAAATAGCTCTGATTGTCCGTCTCATTGTGTCTTGAGTCTTCCGTTGGAACATACTATCGAAGGGACTTCACCTATACACTCGTTGTGGTCCGGTGTATCTACCATAGATTTTAGAATCAGTATACTATAAGTACACAATATATAATGTAATATTAAAAAACAGAATCCCGTGAATCGTTGTACCCACTGCTGGCCGTGGGCGTGAACCTGTTGTATAGTAGTTAGGTTAACTGTATAGTACCCCCTATATTTATCTGATCTAAACAACATGAACAATATAATCCGCGACCTCGACCCATAGCCGCCGCCCGTTAGGTCACCCCCAAGTTGTTTTAAGTACCTACATAAACACAACATTACAAAATGATTCATTCCACTAACGGTTTTAGCAACTGCAATATTATATCATATACATTAAGTGCGAATTTGTCCACGAGACAATATTACATTTGTTATTATAATTTGTTCTTATTAATATAATGATTGTTTGATTTTTAGAGAAATCTAAACCTGTCTACGTTTAAATTCCGTCAAAAAATAAAAATAATAGATATATTGAACACCTGACTGTCCCAGGTGTGGGCAAATGTAAAAAAATGCACGTGCACTTGGTCCCATATTTTTAAGGTCGATTTAACAGAACAGCGGTTTTGGTCTTGGAAGAAAACACACCAACAGCAGCAGTTGGGACTGCTATGGCCTTGTATAGCAAAATAATACATCTGACATAATATGAATTGTGATAAATAATTATTATTACTATAACACAATATGAATTTCAATAACATAATATTATGTTATAAAATCAATACATTTTTAATAACTGGCCCAATTTCGCATCTAATATTTTTGAAGTAAGAAATGTTTTTTTTACAAACTTGTATCCAAACTGATTTTTATTGGGAAAATTAAAAAATAGAATCACAATTGCACATACAAATAATCCTTATAAAGTTATACACTGTTACCTGCTGTGATTTTTATTGATGCTTAATAGATTTTTTTTCTCCAATTATACAGAATGGTCAATTATTCAACGTGACTCATGTTATTTTCCGGAAAATCATGGTAAAAAACGTTTTGAGTTCAACAAACTCAACTCCAAGAGTATTATCGTTTGTGCTCGTTCATATGGTATATTTTTGCACCGAGACCGCTGTGGTGTAAAATAATATATTAAGTACTCATCATTATACTTATTATATCTATACAGGATACAATTTCATGTGTGGTGTGCCTCCTCCACCCCCTCCATCCCGCCTAAAGCGTTTCCTTTTAATCTCCATGATAATACAGTTTACTCGGAGCGACCGCTCCTATAATAGCTGAACAACGTTTTCCTCGAGTACACAAAAAAATTAAAAAAATGTTAAACCTAGGTGATGTAATAATATACAGATTATACAGTTACTCGGCTCTTCCCCTATAATAGATTGTATCCTTGATAGCATACAACCATGGCGACTGTATACAACATATATGTATATACAAGTAATATTACTATGACCTATATATTATATTTTCAGTATACACGAACACTGGATAGCAGCAAACAGCAATTATTAATATTGCATCTCGATAACAAAAATAATACTATCTCATATGCACTCGAGGAAAATGAGTTTTTTTTTTATATGATAATAATTTATATAAGAAGTCTCGTTGAGACAGTAAATATTACACTCAAAGTACGCATAACATCACCTTTAGGATAAGCGACGGTTAGAGTTCTCTATGGTTCAGCCACGGACTTAGACGGAAATTGTTGATGGCAAAACCAATAATCCGAGCCCCTCCCCCTATGTTCCATTGATCATTAGGCATTAATCACACATACATACAGCACTTGGGGTATAAAATATACAGGAATTCGGTATGACCCGAGTCCTGCCTACTTTTAAGACCGCATAAGGCACCTGCATATAATGGGAATAATATGCCACTAAAATTCTCAACCGTTTCTATAATAGCGTTTCAGACTTAACGCTATATCTAAGACCGTGCACGTGCGGTATACGATTAGAGTGACGTTGTATATTACTCATTCCATTGTATAAGCGAGTAGGTAATATTATGTCTATTAACATTGTCGTTAACTCGTGTCGTTAATTTTTTTCCTTCTTTTTCATTTTTAAGTAGACACAAAATATTCAAAAGCATATTTTAAGAATTACTAAACGCTTACCTACACCTATACCTTACCTTGCTACTTAAAATCATTGCAATGTACTGTACACGTTCAAATGTTATGTAGGGTGCAAAAAATATCTTGCCCCTAGGCGCTTTAGATTCTAGTTACTCCACTGTAAAATGTTTAGCACAATACAAATATTCTATATCTTATAAAATCAGAATTTTCTTATTTTTGTCGTTCACGTTCAAAAAAAAAAAAAGAGAAAAAACTGGAAAAGACTTATTGTCTTCGGTAGATTAGGTTTGATAATGTAATTTAAAGCTAGTGTGATTTTTTCCTCGATAAAAAAATTGTGGATTATAGATTTTTGAGGAAATGTCGTAGGTATTTTATAGCCTCATTCTAGATCTACCTCTAATCAAACATTAGGTATTACAATTACAACTACACTCAAAAAAGTGAAATTAAGAAAAAGTTTTCAAACCTTTTAGGGGAATTGGTTTATGAGTATGACATTTTATTGAGTTGTCCATCGTCAATGTATATGCGTATGTGTATAGTGGGTACTATATTCTAAAGAATAACCCACAGAAGTTCTGGTTTAATTAGACTATTTTTCAAAAAGTTATTGCGTAGTCGGAAAAGTGTGTTGTTTTTATCGTTTTTGAGTAGTATTATGAACACTTATAAAACGTATATTTTACAACAGCGATGAGTGGAGTCACGTCGCCGGCGAGGTGCTCATAATATTATTATAGCGTAATCAGTAATGTGTAAAATAAAGTCGAGTAATAGCTATTTAGGGCGAGTCGCCGCAGAAGCCAGCTTCACACGCGTTAAATCGGATAATAAAAAAATCTAATAAAAATTGAATTAAAAAAAAAAAAAAAAAAACACCATAGTTGTCTTTTTATTGTATTATTTATAATATCATCAAGAACCTTCTGCCAGTTCGCGTTCCCACGCCAACTAGCCCGGGGAGAACGGGTGACGGGCGGCGGTGGCGGCGGCGGGAGAAATCCTCTGTGGTATTTTTCGGTGGCCGCCGCCGCCGCGAGGCAGGTGTCAGGTGTGCGCGTCGCCGTCGTCGTGGTCGTGGACGTCGTCGTTTTTATGGCGGCGGCGGCGGCGGCGGCCGTACCGTTGTGAGTGCGCGCGCGCTCTTTGAAATCCATTCAATCTGTACCGCCGCGACCGCCGCCGCCGCGGAGACGCGGGCGTGGCCTCGCAGTGTCTGCGTCCACCGCCTCGTCCCGCCAAGCCACGCCGGCCGCCGCCGCTCTCTCTATAAATACCACCGGGCCGCCGGCCCATCGCACCAGTCGTCGTCGAACGTCCGCACTCGTCAGTATTGTCCGCCGTGACTCGTGCAACGCAGTGCGTCTACCAGTTTATTTATTTTTTTTTTATCATTTTCGCCGTCGTCGTCGTCTTGCACGTTTTCCTTTTGCGTTTTATTCGCTCGCGACGTGAAATTATCATTGAAACCATGAAATCCGTACCGTTGTGCCGTAACAGTGAATCCGGCTCCGTGACCGGCGGCCGAGTGCACCGAAAGCGCGGCGACCTGGAAGACGAGAAAATCCAAAAGTACCTGTCCAAGTTGAAGGATCTGGTGCCGCTGATCCCTAAGGACAAGCGGATATCCCGGCTGGAGGTGATCCACCACGTGATCGACTACATTTGCGACCTGGAGGACATGCTGGAGAATCACCGGTCGGTGAACGCGGACGCCGTGCACACGGCCGCCGCGGCCGTCATGCTGTCGTCGTCCGTCCAGGCGGCCGCCGTCCGGCAACCGTTGGGCATCATAACGGCGCCAAACGCGCTGGCCAACACGGGCGCCGCCGCCATGGCCGCCCATCAACAACAGCCGCCGACCTCGTCGTCCTCCGCCGCCCAACCGGTGAGTGTTGCTAAATAGTTATTAAATTCGACAATCGCAAAGCTTTCTCTTCTCCCGCCGCACATAATAATAGACCATAAAATCATAAATAAGTATTCAAACGAAGATTCGTTGTTGAAAATTCCAAATTCTGGTCGAAACTATTTTGAAAATTTGTCGATCTGGCGAAATACCAGAAGCATAAAATCCAAAATATGATTTTCCCAAAAACCGTAGCAATTACCGCTGCCCGCTGACCAAATTTATCGTAGTTAATATTATCATTTAACGCGTTCACCACGATACGATTCGTTTTTATCGCCTTCCCCCTCCGCCGCACCCTTTTTATAGGTTTTAGGGTTTATGCAAAAATACAAGTATTTTTTGTTTTTTTCTACAATGTCTCTGTTTTTTTTTATGTTACAGACAATGTCTACCTTGGGCTCTCGTTCGACACAAGACAAGCTGTCGAATTCGCCGGAATCAAGAGCAGTTAGCTGTTAAAAACGAACACAATTTTTTTAATTTTAATTAGAACTTAAATATTTTATGAAGAAACAAACAAATACAAAAAAAAAAAACGTCGCTCATCATATCCACCAAACACGTTCGCCGACACAAGACGTGTACTATTCGTCGACCAAATATTCAGTTGAGTACGAAGAAATTTTAATAATAATACTATTATTATTATTATTTTCGATAAATTATCATTGTCGACACATTCCAAAAATGCTAAAAAAAACAAACAAAACTAAATATTAATAATTATAATAGACATGCGTTGAGTTTACGAACTCTTTTTCATTTAACTTTTGTTTATTTTTAATTTTTTTGTATTGTTTATGTTAAAGCGCGTTTTTTTTTTATTAGTTGTACAGATTTAGGCTAAAGGTCCTAATATTGTTATTATTTTTATTATTATATATATTTTTTTCGTTATGTCTGTGATCCTATCGATGTAGAGCCTAGGTTTTAGTATTTATATAGTTTTTTTTTCGGTACCTTTTACCTAGTAAAACTGAAATTATAAAAAAATATATTATATTTATGCGACCCTCCGAGTAAAAAGCGGACGGATTAATTTTTACCTGAATCCTACATAATATATTATTATTATTATTGTAATAAAATATAATATTATGCGCGAGATAACACTATATTTTATTATTATTACTATGTAAAGCGCATCTAGCGCTCTTTTTCCCCCACTCTTTTTTGTTTTCTTTTATTAAATGATTTATATTGTTTGGGTATAATAATTACTTGAGTTTACTAGCCTTTGAATTCAATTAAAAAAAAATATTACAAACAAAAAACGTACAAACTGTGTTTATTTTATACTTTATTTTATAAGTTCCCATTACCTCTGCAAAGGGTTTAGAAGGTAAAAACAGCAATATATATATATATATATATATATGGAAATATGGTGACAGTCGTTTTGGAATTCGGATGACATGACAGTTAGTCACTATACTACATTATATTTTTTAATTGAAGGTGCTAGCAAAAAATTGTTTTGACGTGTACAGTAATTTTTAGAAGGTCGAAAAAGTTGTCAGTGTTTTTTTGTGTTGTTGTATAAAAAAAAAACCAATCTTGCTGAGCTCTCCGAACCGGACGCGAACCGGGTTCGGCCAATAGTGTGACTATAATGAGATAAAAAAAAAAAAACTAAATAAAAAAACCGAACGAGCAACTCCGCAGAGAAAATCCGTGTCAAGCCACTTCGCTTACAACACACAATTTTTCGTTGTAATAGTGCACGTGCAACCGACGACGGAAACACAATATCATCGTGCCCGTTTGTATACACCGCGTTCGCCTCGTCGACAACATCTCCCATGTACGATACAATTAATAATTATAAAAATGATTAACCGTCGGTCCACTCTAAACTATCAAATAGGCAGCGTTATCTTAAGTTGCTAATAGAACATTAGCCAGCGACGGTAAAGTAATCCACTGAATGTTTTACCCGGTAAACTGGGAAATTTATAATATTGTATAAAACACCCATCAAAGTTAAAAAAAAAGAATATTGTCTTGACATTATGACGTATGATAAATTTGTTACTCGTGCACATACAAATGTTTAATATATATAAAAACATTAAAAATTTCACGAAATAAATATCAGCAAGTTACAATGTAGGTAAATATATATAGGAATTATTATTGTCCAAAAACTACAGGAAAAAAAAAACATAATTTCCAACCATTCTGGGTAAAAAGTTTATGGTGATATTGTACCTGATTTTGCACTGTGCGTATGCTGGTAGTACATCTAAACTCTAAAAAATATCCCACAAGAGTTTCAAAGTAATTAGACTTTGTTCAAAAGATGACAAATAATAAATATATACATTTTTAGGGCGTTTTTCTCTACTTCGAAGGGTAAGGTAAATATTGTTTTAATTTCGGATCAATAGACTAGCCACATGAATAAATGGGTCCTGTGGTTTTAACAGTATCGTGGGTCAAGCCACAAAAAAAAAGTTACACATAAACGACCGGCAATTCTTCTAATATTATCAATTCATATTCCTTTATGACAAAACTATAAGTTACCTTTTCTCCAATTAAAAAAAAAAATTAACACTTCGTTTCTAATCATTGACTAACATTGATGATGACAACACCGAAATTTCGGGAAGACACGTGCGGTTTTTATTTTTCTACATAATTATCATCTGTAACGTTAATTTTCGACCAGCGTGTATACAAAAAAATAAAATCGCTTTTTTATTCTTATCGATTTAAGTTTTTATTGATTTCCAAGAACACGACAATTATTGAATAATTACAAAAATCATATAATATTAAGTTTACAGTAGTGTACAATATCGCAATAGTAGATTGTATTCGTTTTGTGGACGGTCGTACAAACGCATATTTCCCTGTCTTGAGCTCGAGAACAAGTAAGTTCAGTATATTAATTATTAATTTATTCGTACCGTGTCTTACGGTGTATATACACTCGGTAGTAAGACACCAAAAAAAAACCCATATTATTTACTTCATTATGCAACGTCTAACTATTAAGGTCATTATAATTATTATTATGAACATTTCAAGGCGTCTTCCGACCATTATAAGGTGTACTAATAGTATTTACGAAATATTATATTGTGTCGGCGGTGTCTTGAGAGGCCGCCATTTGGGAGAAACTATCTACACGGTAGAAATATTATATAGAAATATGTGCGATAGGAATATTTAGAATTTTCCAAAAATATAATAATCTCAATGGGATTTGAATGTTTTTAATACAAAAGCATCGAAAATAACTACAAACTTACAACGAGTTTAACCATTTTCGAGTAAACGATGACGTAAACCGTGAGGAATTGAAAATAATTATTAAGGACAAGAACTAAGAGAAATAAAATATACAAAATCGTCAGTAACAAAAGTTGGCCAAAGTTGATTCATTTGAAAACTAGTTTAAGTTAAAAGTAGTTTAGTGAAAAGTTTATTTCAAAATTTCTCTTATAATCATACTTTATTTCAAAATCTGTTTTTCTTTACCAATAATAATGTTGTGCATAGGTTACACCTATAATATCAGATCTAGGTATCCTCGAGTAATTATCATGGCAGAAAATGTTTTGATCAAGAATGAGCACTTTTTTCCTAATTTTAAAACCTAATTTCTCAATAACAATCTTTAAATACTTAATATACTATGATATTTACACAGCGATATAGGCTATAGCAATTAAGGACTAGACATTTGATTGGCTTGGGTTTTTAATTTTAGTTTATAGTTTATCCATCGATAAAACGCTGAACGAACAACTAGGAACTAGGACCAAAGTACATCAGTTTATTTGTACATCCAACAAAGGTGTAACGTGACCTAACCTAACATAAGCGAATGCAGTACAGCCACATAAATAATTATTGTTAGTTTGAAAGACTCCAACCGCAAAAGATAAAAAAAAAGCGATCAATGCAGCACGTTGAACGCATTTTTCAACTGAGAATGTGGTGTTGCATTTTTACACGGTATGTTGTTACACTGCACCGACCGAAAGTACAGTTAAACCACAGTATATAGTGTTGTGGAAAAAAAACAAGAGAGGTAGGAGAGAAAGAGACAGAGAAGTAGGAGAAAAAAAGAAACTCAATCGTGCCCCGTTGTTATTGTATGCTATACATCATAGAGAATGGGCACCGATAAGAGAATAGGTTTCGATGACCTGAAAAGGAAATAAAAAACATAATATTATATCCACTGGCCAAAAAACTGTTTTACATTCTACCAAACTAACACACAATCCACAACATGATTAGTGTTGTGGAAAAGAACATCAGATTTCCAGTATTTACATCTGATATACAATTGTTTAGGGTCAGTTTTGAATATTATGCGATATTAAAAATCGTCCAACCGTCTAATTTACAACTATAACCGAATAGACCTACAACAAAATATTATGTAACATAATTAACGTTCCAAACATGATAATTTTAACTAGTAAACACTTACGTTTAGTTGGAAACAAGCGACTAGTAAGACTGTCGATGAGTATACTAAAATAGAACCTAATTATATTAATTAGTTCCGAGCACGTTTTTTTTTGAAAATCAGTTTCCAAAAACCATTAGTAAAACGGTACGTTTATAATAATTATAGATTTCGACGTCCTCTATTCATCGTGAGTATTTTCAATATGTTAATTATTTATTTTTCCTCGTGATAATTGGATATTGAAGATATGAGTAAGTATGTTTTTGTTTTTTTTTTTACTCTACACAATATTTAAAAGCCAATTCAATTTACACCGTATACACGAGATGTGGTCTACGGTCCAAAAATATTATGACCAGATCCTTTTCGTTTCTGGCCCGAGCTGTGACCGTCAAGTTATTAAATTTTATTATTGGTTCATAGTACTCAGGTTATAGGTGAACTGAACCCTCAATTATGGCATCCAAACTGTGTAATTATTATAGCACTGTTTAGTGCTCAGACACCTTAAAAAAAAAAAATTGTAAATCCTATTTAGGCGTTAGGTGTGTATACTTAAAATACATTACTTGTATTATAGGTACTCATCCTTTTTTACTGGGAACACCGTTGGTTTTTGTGCGGACCCGACCGATCAAAATTTTGAGCGGTCTGTATTGTAAGTACAGGTCGGTGACTCGAAAACTACACCGTCTCGTGTAATGATAAGATGAAAAGAGCACGTGTGTGTGTGCGGTGTATGTGTATGTGATCCGTGTCGTCAAACGGCTAATTTTAAAACGGAACACTAGTTGTGCATACATCCCGCCGAGGTGTCGCTTCGAGACGTTATGTACATTTTTTAAGCACATACACATATGTACTTGTATAAAATGTGTATATATATACATTTGATAAGACTGCTTTCGAAACGGTACCGAGTGCAAAGTTCAACGTGCAGACAAGATGTGACTTTGTTTTTTTACACACACACTTCAAAAATAACTCAAATGGATTGTTGGCGATCCACGGCCCGACCAAAACATTCTCATTACAGCCCCGTAAAAAACCTATGCAGGAAAATATGGAATAATGTTTTTGTTATAATCTCGTCTGCGGGGCCTAAAGCTAAAAGGCCGATTTTTTTATTTTTGTTTTCAAAATTGTATTATAAGCGTTTGTTTTTTTTTTATTTTTTCTATTAAATCTTACTGATTTTCTAACAGCTAAATCAAAATTCGGCCCTCTAGCTCCTTGCACAGAGAAAATTGTAAGTTAAGCTTAAAAAAAAATTGAAATTCTACCAATAGATACGCCAGAAAACGACTTTTGCGAAAGTCATTTTTTTATCAAACTATCGTCATAACTAGAAGAAAAATAACATTAAATAGTTTTATAACTAGAAACATTTAATGTTTTTTCACCATGAAATTAGTCGGCACATTTATAACTGCTATTGAATACTATATTCAATTGTTGTCAAATATTGCCTATCCATTGCGCCTTAATAAGGCTTTCCGTTCTCCTAAATCAAAAAGTGCAAAAACACTAAGTCGGATAGGGGTCGAAAATGGGTAGATCAAGTAGACGTTGGCTTGGACTAATGCCTGAGTTTGAATTTAACATTGGGTTCGCAATGGCCGTCATTGGGACTTCCTCATTCTCCTCAGCCATTGTCTTTATTGTTATAATACAA